ATGAAAGTAACATACTTTAATTGAGAAAAAAACCTATGTTGTAAAAACCGGACCGGAGAGTGACCCGGCCACATGACTGGGTCACGGGTCAACCCGGACCCGGTGGGTCAACCCGGTCAATGCCGGAAAACCGGTCAATGATTATACGTCTATATAATAATAGTAAACATATAATTATATATAAAATTATAATAAAAATTAGTTATTATTCATAATAATCAACTAACAATACTACTTATTAAGCATTTAATACACTCTCATAATATTTCAATGTATATTTTGATCTTATAAAAATATATAATGATATTTTTATTTTTATTGTACATCTATATTATAATTTGGCATGATGTTCATTCTTAAATAAATATATAAATATATTACGTAGTTTTTCTTTTTAATGTATTGAAATTGCAATTTTATTGGTATAAAAAAAGCATTAAAAATAAAAAAGAAATTACTTTTTTTGGTAAAAACACCCAAAAACTGGGTTTTATCGGGTTTTTCGGGTTTCTTGGGTCCGGGCCTTGACCGGGTTTTTCCGGATCAGCCGAGTTTTTCCGGTTTTCGACCATTTCCGGGTTTTGAAAAAACCGAACCGGTTTTTTGTCCGGGTCACCGGGCTCCGGGTCAACCCGGCCGGGTCGGGTCGGTTTTTTAAACATAGAAAAAAACATGTTGTATTTTCAATTTTGCGTTGTTTTTACTCATACTTTGAGAATTTTCACAATACACTATACATAATTGTTACAAACTTGCGGAAAGAAATGGTATGGTCTATGCAAATTTTGTTAGCCAACCCAAAAACCTATTTAATTCTTAATTGACCCAAAAACCTTTAATTGACCCAAACTGTATTGAAACTAAGACAGGGTTGTTATTGTTCTCAATTATCTTAAAATTGCAATGAATTTGTTCAGTTACGTATCTTTCTTATCATTCTCTAGTTATCTTAAATTATACGTATATCAATCTAGGGGGAAGGTGTCAAATAGTCCCTTGTATTCTACCTAAAAAGCTAATTGAGCTTTGGTACCCAGTATTCACCCAAGTAATCATCTAATTAAGCACCACAATTTTAAAAACTCTCTTAGTTGGAGCGCGTGTATTAAAAAAAAAACTTGTTCACAAAATCTTATTTCTTGCTAGACGTCCAATGTTAGATCCAAATTTTTTGAAGGGACACAAATCAAATCAAGAGAGAAGCTCAACAATGAAAGGCAGAGGTCATTGGGGCCGTCCCTTTGAGTGATCGGATGAATGCCCGGGTCAAAGGTCAGCTTGGACTCGGAGCATTAGACCGGCCAATGCGTGAGAAACCCAGTCAACCTTTGCTAAAAATTATAAGATACTACGTAAAAAGCATGTGTATGTTTATATACTTCGTATCATACGATAGTATTTAAGGTTATAAGGGTAAAACATATTCTCATTTTTTTATTGAATAGTGATAGATACAATTCGTATAGAAAATAATAATATCGATCTAAAATATACAATTCGTAACAAAAATCAAAATTCATTTTACGTTGAATAAATGATAGATATAACCAGGGACGGATCCAGGATTTCTATTTAAGGGGGGCGAAATTTTTCGGTAGTGTAGGGGGTGAAAAAAATTTCGTTAGTGTAGTGGGGCGAAATTTTTTCCCTAGTGTAGCGGGGCGAATTTTTTCCGCTACTGTAGGACTATGCGGGTAATTTTATTCAAAAAATGACATTAATACATACACATCCCCAACGACATTTAAATCTATTAAGTAGTACATTCTAAGTTTAAATTAGATGATGACAAAGACATCAACCAATACATTTTTAACAACTTCTACATTGTTTAACCTCATGAATCGGTTATTATTGAATTGTAATTTTTGTCCGGCCACTAAGGAGGGTGTTCGTGAGTCATGACTCATGAGAAGTTTTCTTAATATTACAATAGTAGTATGTATGATATTATTATTTTTAGAATAATATGCACCACATACACACACATATATGGTGCATATTATATTTTAATATTTGTATTAATGCTATAATAATTTAAAGTTTATTATCTATGCAATTAATTATTTTTAGAAAGCAAGAAGCAAATGAATTATGTAATTTAATGTCAATAAACATTTATATTTTGGATTCATTTTACGTGATCTAAAAACTGTGTAATTAGTGTGTCTGATATTTAATATTGTTTTATATATATTTTACAAAATCAAGTACTTGTTATCTAATAAAGATAATTAAACACTACAAAACTAGGAATTCTTATATAATAAGTATCCTAAATCTTAAACAACGAGTTATTCTATTGTTTATTTGTTTAAGTTATGTAATTATTTTAGATGTTCCTTCTTTTAAATCTTCAATTACGTATTGCATTATGTAACATTATATATTAATTTTGAAAATTAAAAGATAGGGGGGGGCGAATCTAATTAAATTATGAATGTTTTATGAAAATATTACATATATGGTAGAAAATTTTGAAAGTCCAAGGGGGGCGGTCGCCCCCCCCGCGCCCCCCCCCTAAATCCATCCCTGGATATAACTACAACAATCATTACAAAATCCATTAAAATTATAAAAGTAATTTTTAGTTATATTTGAAGTGATGTAGACATAATTGCAAAGTATAATAAAATCGATTATTATTGTGATGCTGATAAATAATATCAATAAGTAATAATAAAATCTTTGAATTAAAATCTACTACTTGTATAAAATAAAGGTTTAACTGGTGCGTAGTTAGAAAAGCATTCGAAGTGATTAAAAAGAAGTGTGGTTTTGATCTTAGCGAGCAACTTATTTTTTGAAAAGGGATAGGACTGTTTCTTCGGGTTGAGCCGGGTTTTGGGTCAGGTTTCTTGCCGGGTCTGTGGGTTTAGGACTTGCCGGTTACCCATTATCGGCCCGATGTTTCACGCAAGTAACCGATTTCCGAATCGATCTACCATTCTACGGGTTTAATGCACCAAACCCCCCTATGATATGGAAATTTGGCGCATTAGCCCCATGTGTTTTAAAAAATGCGTCAAACTTCCTTGTATTTTAATTAACTAGGTTTCAAGCCCGTGCGATGCACGGGCAGTACATAATTTAGCTAATAGGAATTTAGATGATTTATCTGTTAGGTGGGCAAAACAGGGATAATTCATTTTTCAATAGAATGTAATAAAAGGTATTTAAAAAAATTAAATAATTGATATAAAACATATATAGTCTATGTGTAGGGATGATTGTTTATTCTTGTGGTTCCAATTGCTTAATTTAATAATTATCCAAATTAATATGAAGTAAGTAATAGGTTCTTAAAAAGTTACCAAATAAGGTGGTTTCTATATATGCTACAGTCTTTTGTTTCCATATCAATATACAATAAAAATAGAATGTAATAGAAAAATAAGCTGTATAAAAAGTAATTAAATAATTGTTATATATGATGACATGACAGGATTATGTGGCACACCGTATGCTCCAGTTTTCATTTGATCTGGTTGAATAAAAAATAATAACAATAATAATTATTATTGTGATATTATTATTAATAATAACAATAATAATTATTATTGTGATGTTATTATTATTATACTCCAGTTTTCATTTGATCTGGTTGAAAAAAAAATATTCTAATAGTTGTTATATCAATCGAAAATATATGCAATTGGAATAGTATATATAATATCAATCGAAAATATATACAATTGGAATAGTTTCCATCGAAATGTATATTGTTTCCATATCAACCAGTTTTCATTAATATATACAATTATCGTGACTGCTTAGATTCTCATGGTATATTATTTCCTTATCAATATACAATAAAAATAGAATCTAATAAAAAAATATACTGTATAAAAAGTAATTAAATAATTGTTATATATGATGACATGGCGGGATTATGTGGCACACTGTATGCTCTTAAAAAGTTCCTCTTTTATATATATATATATATTGATTATGCGCCAAATCCCTTTTATGAATAAATTTAAAGATTTGGAAATCACTTTTCCTAATATTTTGATTGAATATGCAAGTAAATATGTCGAAATATTTGAATCATACAAAAATGTTAATCATTTATCATTTATTTGACAATTGAATTTGTTCACATAATGGATTTGGCGCATAATTAATTAAAACACAAGGAGGTTTGCCGCAATTTTTAAATCATAGGGACTTATGCGCCAAATTTCCATAGATCAGTCCGGGTTTGATAAAATAGTTTTTCTCTTCTAGAGTTTCCTTTCCCAGCTTAGCCCAACTATTAAGTTTCCTCTTTCGCTTTTCTTTTGAGACGGGTGAATGGGGGATTCACTCGCCAAATAAGGGTGCTACCAACCCACTTTAACACCCAACTCTACCTCTACTCTTTTTTTACAAGGTTGCACACTATATGAGGTGAAAAGAATAAATTTTCACTTTTGAGATTGTAATCACCCCAACTCCCTAAGCATATTTAAGCGTACAATTTACGAAAACATGAAATTCGCCTGTTTGAAAATTGAAACATTAAAACCGATCTTTTGTGAGTGGGGCACCAAGTTTTTAGCTTTACGAAAAAATGTTCATTTTCCACTTCTTTAAAGTTTTCCCAGTAGAAAGCAGAACTGATTTTCATCTTTCAAGGTATTTGAACTTGTAACATTACATGTCTTCATATGTCTATCAGTCTATGTGTTGATACCTTCATTTATAGACCTAGATTTAATATGTTGAGACAGGGCGGACCGTAGTAGAGACCTAGGGGGCAGTGGCCCCTCCAACAAAAAAAAATAGTGTATATATATACCAAAAAATAATTTTCGCCCTCCCAAAAAATATTTTTTTCAAGTTACCGCCCTCCCAATATAAACTTCCTGGGTCCGCCCCTGTGTTGAGAACTTGTTGAAATTTTTAAGGCGTTGGTAATCGGTGAAATCAGCCAAGGAACTATTGTCCCGTTGTGTTTTGATAAGCCCCCACCGCTGACCGCCCCCCAACCTGTATTTGCAATCAGCCACATAGTAAAAGAATAAAATAGCCAAACCAGGAACACAATGCATGAAGTATCCAAAACGAGAAGTTAATGAACTTTAAACAGTAGAAAATGGAGGAATCCTGATAAGTGTTCAGTTTAACCACACCCAAAATAAAATAAAATAAACTTTTAATTATGAAGTGATGAAACAAGACTGAAAGGCCAACCGCTTCTTTTCATAATTGCCTACATGCAAGAGCATGATTAACTGCAAACTTAGATTTCACCATCCCAGAGTTCTTCAAGATTTTTGTATGAGCCATAGGTCTCACTCACAAAAGATGTGCCTCTAATCAGTCTTGCCTGCAAATATTAGTTTAACCAGTTATGGCACTTATGTGATGCCACCATTTTCTCGACAATGATAACCATATTAAAAAAAATCATATTATGCCACTACAAGGGATTTACGATGACTTTGGCTGATTTTGGAGTATCCACCCCCAAATAGATGGGCTTTTGAAAAGAGTAATTATTATTCTTGCATATAGCATGCTGAAAAATATTTCTTATTTATAATGCCAATTTTGAGTTTTATTTTATAGGAGTAAAAATCATGAGAGAGAGAGAGCAAGTAAGTAATTAAATATGAAAAGGAAAAATTATCTAAAATTGTTAATAGATCACTCCCTTGGTCCCAAAATGAATTGCATGCTTCTTTTTTCTCCCAAAATAAATTTCTCTTTCCTTTTTAAAAGAGATTGTGTGGTTCCCATTGTCTCTTTCTTTCTTTGGAGAAAGCTGCAACATTTTTATTTTCTTATTCCCAGTGCCAAGTCAAAACATGATATAATAATGGGACAGATGGAGTACTATTATGAAAGAATTAAATAAGCGCTTCTTGCCTGCTCAATTTCAGAGAACTTGGCCATTAGATCTTCAGGGATAGACCAGTCAAAGACGTCAAAGTTCTCTTTGATCCGTCGTTCGTTTGTGCTTTTGGGAAGCACACTGTTTCCCATCTGCAAGCCCCAACGAAGACAAACTTGTGCAGGAGTTTTCCCCAACTTCTCAGCAACTGAGAGCACAACTGGATGAGTAATCACATTACTCTTTATCCATGTAGTGCCCGGAGAACCTAGTGGTGAATATGCCTGAAAGAAAAAGAGAAAGATCACTACAATAAGGTGTAGTTTGAATCAACCATCTATAGTACACAACATTGATAAAACATTCACATGGCCCACCAACTGAAACGAATGATAAAACTCACAGAGAGGTGAACTCCTTTGGATTTACAGAACTCTCGCAGTTTGCTTTGCTGCCAAGAAGGATGGCATTCCACCTGGTTAACAGCAGGAGGAACACGGGCAACTTCCAAAAGATCCCTCAACTTCTTTGTTGAGAAATTACTAACTCCAATGGCTCTAGCTTTACCAGAGTCACATAGTGCTTCCATGGCTTTCCAAGTAGCAGGTATATCGGTTGGAGCAAGGTTTTCAGGGGCAAATCCTACCGAGTCCTTCTTCATCCGTACAGGCCAATGTATCTACAAAAAAGGATCTAATCAAGCAAAACCAAACCAATTCAAACTATACTACAAAGTTACCCAATCGATGGAGTCATGAGCTACATACAAAAAATAAGAACAAATTATACTCTGTATATGGAGTTCAATTTACCTCACAAACATTGTCATCTAGAAGTCCATGGCTAGTTCAACATTATTGTCAGTTTTCTGTTTTGTGTTTTACGATTGTAAAAGTTATATCTGGTATGATATAGGTTATCTAATGAACTAAAATGTACTTATACCTAATTATCTATACTAATCATGTTAATATGTTAGTGTTAAAAAACTGCCAACAAACAGCAGAAAATTACTTTTTTGGTTTTCATAATTTTGTTTGGTTGAAAAGTAACCAGAAAACGAGCAGGAAACACTAATGAATGAGCCCTCAGATAGTATAAATGATCTTCAGTATAAATTCTGTTATATACCTAAATTTCTAGAATTTTTCCATCATTGACAATGGAGCCAAAGACTCACTATTTTTTGGCTAGGGAATATGATGGAATAAAGCAAAATGACTTACTAAACTGTCTGCGCTTCTTTGTTATGAAGCTGCAGTCAGACCATACAATTTGCGACGCGATTTTCACTATGGGTCATCCGGAAACAGTCTCTTTGTGCTTTAGTACAAGGGTAAGACTGCATACATCCGACCCCCACTTACCCCACCGAAAGTGTGGGAGCCTTTGCGGCACCGGGGTGATGATGATGATACCTAAATTTCTAGAATATCATTGAATCTAATTCCATAAAATAGTCCGATGACAATCTAAATTACAAAGTACTGGAACTTAAACTAGGAGAACCTGTGAATGTTAGATAGGTGAAGGTTTCTAAAACATATTGAAGAGCCATACGTACAAGGAACAAATCAACGTAACCAAGCTGCAAGTCTTGCAGAGTTTGGTTTAGTGCAACTGGTACATCTTCTGGTACGTGATCCCTACACCTGCAATTCCAGATTAAGAGAATGGGTAATAAGATTTAGAGAATGGATATAAGATTAGGTACACCTGGTATCTTATGATTGCCACATGGTCTAAGAAAACGAATATTACATTAGGTCGGTAATGTCAATGCCAATTTCAGATGCCAAAAGATTAATGTATTAAGACAAGTGTAAACCCATTTTAAAATCTGTTATGACAGAAATTAAGTGAGTATTTGCATGCTTGAACGAGGAATAGAGAAACGCTCAACCAAATAATGTATGTCATATTAAGCAGGAGCATAGTGCAGATGCTCGAGGAGTCGAGGATAGTGTTGGAAAACAGATGAGGTTATGGAAAGTTTAGGCACACAAGACAATAGTCCTAAACATCTATGGCAACTACTATTTATACTCTAGCAAAAAAACTTTTATGCTGTAAATGTCACCTTGAATGGGATAAAGCAAAGCTATGTCAGAAACAGCTTAATAGTTATATGCTACCATATAATACCAGAGTTTGGAGGTAATGAACAGATCTTCCCTCTTAACCACACCATCTGCAAACAGCTTCTTCAGAACTTCACCAATCTTGAAATAGTAAAATAAAATTAGCTCCAGAGAGACATGACAGAAATATAACCTCATGTTCAAGGCCAGCTATTAAAAAAAGAGACAAATTAAAACCAGTCCTACACCACTGAGATGTTTAGATGTAACATCGTAATCCCCAGCTAGGCATTAAAAAGCATTCAGGAGTCCATGATGTAAGCATATATATAGAGCTAACAATATTTTAGGAACAAAATTAACATTGAACACAAAATCCAGTTAGAATGATCACTTATCCTTTATGGTGATAACACGAAGCACAACTCCAATACTTAACATCATTAGGGATTACCAATGATGGCTCTCACATGAAATATGAAGGCTAAGGGTTCAAAAATGGACATCTGTAAGATTTTCATTAATAAATATTATAATATGAAAGTTATATATTCTTAACGATGCAGAACTAATCAGTACAAAGAGATACCCCAGAAGAACTGCTCCACAACAAACCCGAGCCATAGAAATAAAAAATGCAAGGAGTACACAAATTCTAATTAGAATGATCACGTATCCTTTATGGAGAAAACAAGCACTGCTCCAATAGTTTACATCATTACGGATTACCACAATCTTGGCTCGAAATGAAATACGAAAGCTAAAGGTTCAACCATGAAAATCTGTAGGCCTTTCATAAAATATTAAGAAAATGAGAGTTAAACATATGTTTGATGATGCAGAACGGAGAAGTAAAAATAAACACCCCAGAAGTACTGTTCCAACACAAACCAGAGCAGAAACCTCACATCAGTGAGGTATACTTGAAGTCGTGAAGTAAGAATTATCCTATCCTATTGGCTCATAAAGAATATAACAAAAAGTACTGCCCTATATAATAAAATACAAAATATAAATTGTCCATATGTGATATTATTAGGTACAATAGTGAGCATCAAATACCTCTTTCTCGTTGTTATAAGCCCGAGCACCATCAATGTGGCGATATCCAGCCTGCAAAGTAAGTCAATGTGATTGTTTGGTCAGGCCTATCAAAAAATTGACACGGAGGACCATTATGCACTTCCTAAAGCATCAAGAAATTGCTGGTACATAACATTGTTTTTCATTTTTTATCACCACATGGTATAAATTATTATTATTATTATATAATGAATGCATGATTTAGATATTTTGGGAAAGAAAATATGGCTAAATGCTCTATTTTCAGCCTGCTGATGTAAAATCAAATCATTGCCTCACCACCTTACATCATAAGACAAGTATTGTAGTTTATAAGTCAACAACAGTTGATAGCTCTTGAGAATTTGAGCTCTGAACCCATAATGGGGATGATGAATGAAGGAAAACATAGATCTGGTAATGTGAGCTAAAAGTGCAAGATGTAACTATGTAAGTCTCCTATATATACAAAGCCACTCATGCAAGAGAACTACAATGGCCCACACTCTAGGACAGTGGGCCAACCTCTTTGATGGAGTGATGCAAGTCAACACCAGGTCACCCATGGACCAATCTTGTAGCCCAACTAGTATGTATGCCATCAAGAGCCACCCTCCCCCAGAACAACAATACAGTTCCTGACAGAAGTAAACACAAATACTCCCCAATATGAAGTATTGGGCACAGAGTCTACAAAGCCACTCGTGCAAGAGAACTACAATGGCCCACACTCTAGGACAGTGAGCCAACCTCTTTGATGGAGTGATAGAAAGTCACACGCAGAGTCTAACTCACGTGTACGGCACGCGAAATATCTAAAATAACAAATCAACTTTTTATTCAACCATATAACTATGTAAGATTCATTATGCTAAACTAGAACTGTTTCCAGTTACTGATATTTCTGTTGACTCAGAAGCTGGCTACAAGTTCTATGGTGCATCCGTGCATCTCAGGGTCTGGAAAGAGGTCCCAAAAGTGGTGTGGGCGTGTGGGTCAAACAAAGAATAGGCCAATGGAAAGTGAATGCAAGACATGGAGCACAAACAGACTGCATCAAATTTAGAGTGGCAGGTGGATGCTAAAGTCGACGCCTCCACAAAGCAGCAATAACTAAATGAAACCTGCAACCACTTCACAAGGGTTCCCACTGGACAATCTTAGGCTTGCGGAAACAGTCCACTCTGTTTGAAGAAATGAAGGATGAGACGCAAGTTACAAACCTCCAACATATAGATTGCTACTCAGGGTTGAGAACTACAGAGTACCGCACTCTAGGCTAATTGGCTGAGATCCTGGACATTTGGTCAACATTTCTATTTCTTTATGCATGAATCAATAGCTCATAACTTGTATCTTTGACTTCTAATAAAGAATCAATTACAACACTGAGAGATCTAGCATTCTAGCTAGATCATTTTGTAGGCTTACACCGAGTGCATGAAAACAGAAAATGATTTAGATGAGACTTCATCTGAAAGTAGTACAAAAATGCACCATTAAGTTTAAATGAGATTTCATTTGGCAGTGGGAGTGTACTACTTGTATTTTACAGAACAGCACAAAATTATCATTAAGTGGAAAACTACCATCGCAAATAAGCATTCAAACTCCGATCGGTAGGAAATGAAACATATACACAAAAAAGACAAACAAAAAACAGAGACGAGCATGCATAGGGCAATGTATGAGACAGCAGTAGGGGAGGAGAAGGAAAGATACCTTGATAGCGGCCTCAACGGCTTGACCGACGACCCCCGGTTCAGCCTGCCACGTGCCTAACCCCACCGCCGGCATCTTTGCTCCGGTGTTCAGCACGAAATACTTAGCGGTCGCCATTGCTACGCACAGCCAAAAAACAGAGCACCACTGAAACAGAAGTCTGTGAGCGAAGTCAGAAACGGAACAGTTGCCACGAGTCGTTAGAGCATTTCCGGGTGTGTCGTGCACGTATATAAAGCCATAAATAAAGGGAGTAATAATAAGAATTTAAACCAAATTGAGGTAATTGTGGTAATTGGGTCTTTGATAGCTGACATTTACAAATGGACGAGAGCCACGTTACATACGCAGTACTTTCGTACTGAAATGTACTCCCGTAACGTGTTCTCATTTGAAAAGTAGGTAGATTAAGAATAGTGAAAGGGGATATAAATATTGAGGATATAATGGGAAAATAGTAAAATAATGTGATGGAATGAAGGATAAATCCAAAAAAAGTAGGTGTAATAGTGTACTACGTATTATTTAAAAATTATTGAGAGTATGATGGGAAGATTTAGAAATGAGAAGATATGAATGTTACATCCAAAAAAAGGAAAGTGTGAATATAAGAATGTTACGGAGGGAGTAGTTCATATGTTCTCCGTGTAAATGTGCCATCTCAATTATTCCAACAAAAATGATGTTCGTACCCACTCTTATACCCATTTTTGTACTCATTTATGTTTGTGAAATGTTTTTTTCTCTATGAACCCTGGTTCACAGACAATATTTTGCACAAACAAAAAATTGTTTGTGAACCAGGTTCACAGACAAAAAACACTTCATAAACACAAATGAGTATAAAAGTGAGTATAGGAGTGAGTAGTACATCAAGTGATTTCAATATTGTTGCTATTTGAAATATTGAAAATAAGATTTTCCTTAATTTGAATTTAAATGTGTGAATGACGTGGCAAGACGGACAAGAAAGAATTAATTAATGAAAATAAATGTTGTGTTACCGTTTTGGAATCATATCCATCGTACGTATATTCTTTTTAGTCTTCTTATAGTTAGTTTGTCTAAATAGAGTAAACACAGCCCAACTCTAAAGCTTTTGTAGCCCAATTCAGAAGTGTTTTAGCCTACGATATTTATATTTATCTTCATTTTTATATTATTTATATTTATGTTCATTTTTACGAAAGTATATTCATTTATATTATTAATCTTTCTTATATTTTTTTCTTCGACTCCGATATCATCATCGATTGATTCGTGTTAGTCGATTCTATAATCTTTTGTTGGGAACCCTCTTTAATTGGAGAGGTTCTAGAAAATTCTAGAGCTTTCTAGATAAGTATAGAATTTTCTAGAACGTTCCGGAGAATCCTAGAGAAATCTAGAACTCTCTAGAAGCTTGTGGAACAGTGTGGAATCCTCTAGAATATTCTAGAGATGTGTGGAACCTTCTGGAAGCCTATGGAAGAGTATGGAAGCATATGGAAGAGAATGGAGAGGTGTAGAGATTCCTTGGAATTCTCTAGAATAGATAGTCATGTGTAGATCATTCTAGAGAACTACTCTCCACCACTCATTATGGAGGTGGAGTTGTATAAATAGGAGTAGGAGCCTCCATTCCTAACCATCCTAGCCAAGAGTGAATCCACTTCTAGAGTGAGAAAGTTAGAGAGCCTCTTTGAGAGAGAAGAGAGATAGCTTGGGAAGACATCATCCTCAAGCTTGAGTGAGCCACCATTGAGTGAGACAATTTTGTAACATCCTTGTACACCCTACTATTCTTTTGTATAGTGGAAGAATCTCCATATTGGAGAATTTAAATCGTGTGCTCCCATTGCTACCTTATTTCCTAAGTGCCTATCTTAACTTCACGAAGCGGGAAAGTCCGGAGTGTTTTTTCCCAACATCTTTTGGGACTGAAATATGAATATTGTTGTTGTATAGTTGACTATAAAAGTTAACTATAAATAGTGTTTCTATGGAGTATGAATTATTAATTAGAATATATGTATGTATATATATAGACGTCAACTCATATCAGGCCGGTCTGACGGGAATCTCCGTGAGGTCGATGCCATTTGGGATCTTCCCCGATTGAATTTTTTGATGATTTTTTAAAACATGTTCTTCATCAAGTGTAAATTATCTTTTCAAAATTTAAACTTAAAATTCAACAAGGAAGTCAGTTAAATAAAATATTGCAACATACTGCGCTTTATGTATAATGCGCAGTATGTTTCAATAATTTATTTAACTGACATTTCAACTAAATGTAAGATCAATTTTGTGGAGATAATCTACACTTGATGAATAACATGTTCAAAACATGTTGTCAAAAAATCCATCAGAAAGGTCCCCAAATTGCCTCGACATGAAGGGTGGTTCCCGTTAGGCCAGCCAAATGGAAATGCTTCTCTCTCTCTCTCTCTATATATATATATATACATATATATATATATATATATATATATATATATATATATATAGATTTAGGTTCATGTGAGAACTTAATCTTAGGAGAGTAAAAAAGAACAAATAACAACCATTGGATTGGATTATAATAATCTGTGCGCCTAAACCTTCATTAAGGGTAAGGAAGACATTTTCAATTACACGTTTGTAGACTTCCTAAACGTACGCTGCATGATTTCCTTCCACAACCGATTTCCTTCTACAACCGTTTCTCCAAGATCTCCGTTTCTCCAAGATCTCTTTCCAAAGATATTTTCCTTCTTCTGCGTTCTTCTTTCCAAAATCATCATCACTATCTTCCTCTCCTCCCTTTTTCCTCTGTCTCTTAACTCTATTCTCTGCAACTTCATTCGCAGTTGAGTCCATTTTTCTCTTGCCCTTGTCTTTCCTAGCATTTTGCAATATTGTCTCCCGCCTTTCTGCAATATGAAATTCAATGCACCTTTAATAATAAACCATTCATAAGTAAATGTTGTTTATTACATACACCAGTTTATGTAGTTACAAGCACAGTTTCACATATACCATGTTAGTATACATTTTCACCGAATAAGTAAATGCAGAATATTAAGTCACCATAGCACTTTATTAACTCTCAATTACAGTTTCACATATAACACCAATTAAGAATATTTCCACACTTTTACAAGTAATTAATGCATTCAAATAACCCATCGTTCACATATCACAATGCACTTTACCTTCAAAGTACCAACACAAAACATATATGAAAATGCACTTTCCATAAATTACAATATCACCTTTCACAGGCCTATAAGTAAATGCAGAATATTAACTAACCATAGCACTTTATGAACTCTCAATTACACTTTCACAAATAACACCCATTAGGTATATTTCCACACTTTTATAAGTAATCAATGCATTCAAATAACCTACAGTTCACATATCACAATGCACTTTATTAACTAACTATGATTCTTTTGCACATAACTTAATAGTAATCATACATTCCGAATTTTGAACTTTCAACAACCAGTTTCATACTAAGCACATTCTGCAATTACACATGCACAATTTCAGAACACCATATTACTTTCAAAATGTCAATACCAAACATATATGAAAATGCACTTTCCCTCATTAGAATATCACCTTTTCCTGGCCTATAAGTAAATGCAGAATATTAACGAATCATTGCACTTTATGAACTCTCAATGACACTTTCCTAGATAACACCCATTACGTATATTTCCACACTTTTAAAAGTAATCAATGCATTCAAATAACCCACAGTTCACATATCACAATGCTCTTTATTAACTAACTACGATTCTTTTGCACATAAATTAATAGTAATTATACATTCAGAATTTTGAACTTTCAACAACCATTTTCATACTAAGCACATTCTGCAATTACACATGCACAAATTCAGAACACCACTTTACCTTCAAAATACAAGCACAAAACATATATGAAAATGCACTTTCCCTCATTACAATATCACATTCACAACACCCATCACCAGTATGAACTCTATCCTTCTTTTCGAAAATACTTCACAACAAACTCTGTTTCACACATAATTAAAAAAATCACTATTGATTAATTTCACTGATAGCACTTTGAATTTAATTTTTTTCCCAATAAGTAAATGTAGTTTATTAAGTTTCAATAGCACTTTCCGAACTTTGAATTACACTCAAACTTTACACCAATTAAGTACATTACCGATATGAACTATACGCATTCTTTTCAGAAATTAAAGCATGTTCATTACCAATCGATCGATTTATAACAAATTGATAGATATGAACCACATAAAAACACAAATACATCACTTTTTATAGTTTCTCATGAAATATCTTCCTAAACGTTCATAACAATGGACTTCTTCGAACATGCATTCAATCCATAACCAAAATTTTTTTACCCATACATATAATCACCAAGTGGCTTTTGAGTTTTCGTACCTGTAGCACTCTTCCCGCTTCCTGATGCAGTGTCTCTCTCGTTCGCCGCTGCCATCGCGCTTCGAACCGTTGCTAGGGTTTCGACTGTCCCGGATTGCTTCTTCCTACCGTCCGTCGAGCTCTGGTTTCAGTAGAAGTCTGCAGAAGGAAGTTCTCTTCTTTCAAATATACCGGCACATTAACCGGGATTCTTGCCATCTAAAAAATAGTGCGCTCAACCGCCTTAATTAATTGCTCCAGCCTTTTACCCAAATGCCCTTATAATGCACGCTTGGCATTTTAAGTTGCTGCACGCACGTATCACATGATTTTTTTACTCGCCCAAAACTTAAATCCCAGCCGCAAGATTGATACAATGGACCGTCCAAAATGAATCTTTTTCCCTCTCCTGACAATGTGTTCTCACCGGAACTGCTCCCTATATATATATATATATATATATACATACATACTCCCTCCGTCCCGTAAAGATGTTCCCGGTTTGACCTACACACATATTTAGGAAATAAATTTGACTTTACTGTTTAGACACTGTTTGGCACTGTTTAGACACTGTTTGACACTGTTTTGCACTGTTTGACACTGTTTTGATGTAGGATAACTTTCCATTTGGGGAAGGGGGAACTTCTTTTTGGGACATCCAAAAAAGGAAAGCGGTAACATCTTTGCGGGACGGAGGGAGTATACAAGAATGATCAGGTCCCCACGTTCGGACAGGACCCTCCGTCCGAACATCCTCGTTTGGGGGGGTCGTTCCTGGTGGAATTGTTTGATGAAATTTTTTGAGCATGTTCCTCATCAAGTCTAGTTTGTCCATACCAAATTTC